AACATTGGCGAATGATCTGGGCACTGCCAGAGGGGACAAATGGCCAATTAAAAAATTAAAGAAAATAATAATGTACAACAGAGTTGAGTGCTACACTGAATATACACTAGTCATTTAAATTGAAGGTTTGGGGGATGTGTAAGTGTTGTTATGGAGCAGCATGATGTTTATGAACAGTTTCATAGAGGAGGGGGACAAGAAGGTACATTAGCAATGCAGGAAGACAACCAGATGCCCTGCACCTGGGAGGATGTAGGTGTAAAAAGTTTTGTCAGCTAATTAGCTATATGCTCGGTGTGCTGCAAATGTGACTATTGGTCAACCACATTTGGGAGCCCTTCCTCCAGACACACTGCTATGTCCTGCAGGACCTGCTCACCCCTTACTACTGACATGTTCAGAATCTGTGCCTCTCATTTTAATGAAGCTGTGTACAAATGGCAGCTTTAACAATTGTTCATCAACAAGTGTATTCTGCATACCACAAAATTACCACAAAATAAGCAAAATCAAACAGAATATCAACCACCCCCTAAAAAAGAAAAACATATATATATATATATATATATACATATGTATATATACAGTATATATATATTCCTAAGGATATGTAAAGGACCCTAAGAAGGACAGTTAGGTCTATTGAACTGTAAACATAGGTACATAGGTAGGTGTGCACAAGGGTAGCTCACCACACTGCAATACAGTACAGCACTATATAACACAGTATAGCATTGTAGAGTATAGTACAGTATAGTACAGTATAGTACACTAGAGCACAATATACCACAGCATAGCACTGTATAAAAAGTATTTCTCTATACACAGATTTGTCCTCTACAGCACACAATGGCAATGGTTGCTGGAAGCTCAACTTTTTATAGTGAGGTGGTTGACATGTCCTTTCTTTCAAATGATTGGCTTTCAGGGATTACTCTGACCATGGGAAAGGGTTATATAGTGCTTAATGGGCTCAGGTGAAAATGTTTGTCCATTATATCAGAGTTTTTGCAAACCCAGAAACTGTGAAATATGCAGCAGTCCCAGGGTGGCCCCCAAACTGAAACCTCATCATAATAGTATGCTGTTATATTAAAACTACAACAAATGATTCCTCCTCTAAGGGTAATATTTAAATAGGGTCATTTTAAAGGCAAAGAATATTTTCCACCACTAATATGTATTCACATTAAAGCACAGACTATCGCTCCTAATTTCTCAAACCACAACTATTCCAATAAAACAGATAAGAAAGATTTACTTGATTACCTTAGCTGTCCTACCAATGACAATTAGTAATTTCTGCAAAAGTTGTAACAAATTTCAGTTTAGAAACTTAAACTATTAGGCATACCATGTTCGCAATTTATTCACAAACAGAATTGTCAGTTTATGTTAAGATAACAGAAGTTAAACCAGGCAAATTAGATAAAATATGTTCTAGGCTGGCAGGGTTGTCGCTGATGACAGCACTGTTTGTATGATTATTTATTGTTGTTCCTGGTGTGTTTATATTTTCTTCTTAGTAAATCGAGGAAGACACTTCAAATGTCATTTCTTTCTGCAAGGCACTGTTTGCTTTTATGGGTCTCTAATGTCTTTAAATACAACAATGTGGCAAGAAATGTGGCTTCATTCACTGCTTTATGCATTTCAAGCCTTGATACTAAATACATTTGATTGTGAAGCTCCCAATTTCTTCAGCATCTATGGCATTAGTGGAATTCAGGAACAGATGTTCTTTTATAAACAACTATATTTTGCATAAATATGGCAGAACATATTCCTTGGCAGAAAAAAATACTGAGTTCAGGATGATTTTGTGAAGAGAAGACTGCCAACCTTAGTGTTTAGATAATAAATATGGTCTTGCAATCTGTCAATGTTCTGGGGAACAAGAAAGATCAAATTCTTGGAAATTATGTTTTTGTTGTAGAGATTCTTTGTGATGCATATTAGCCATGTTCTTTATGATTTACTATTATGAGCAATATAGCATCTAACATTAAACAGATCTATGGAAGCAAAGTCATTATTTTGTGTATTGGAAGCCCTCTATGTTTTTTTTTATAACCCCACTGACACCAGGAAAACACTAAAGACTGTTAAAGCATTATGACACTGTGCTAAGGACCCCCACACAATCCCTGCACCCAAGACATCTAGACTACCAGTCTATAGCATGTGACAGGCTGAAAATATACTTTTTCTCTTTAAACTGAGAAAAAGCAGTCTAATCTAAGCAGTAAATAGTGAGCCTATTAAAGCCTTAACAGAAAATGAATTATTTTTTTTTGCTGACACTGAATTTAGCACAAGTGCCATCAAGGGGAGGCATCATGCAGTCAGATCCCATGGCTTTCCACTTCATTTTATATGCTATTAACAGACATGTGTGATTTTGACATAGACGTAAACTGCAAAGGATTCCTTCCAAATTATAATGGCTATGGAAGGGCTCCCAAGTATACACCACCAACTATGGGGAGTTGCAGTATTCAAGATGGGACTGTCTTTTTTATTTCAATAAACTTTATTGTTCACTGATTATGATACATTCTGCAAGCTCCTCTAACATGTTTTACCTCATTAGAAGTCTGATGGGAGGGGTCATACTTGAGGATTGATAACATTTATTGAAAAATAAAAAATCACAGTTGTTTCCATATACATTGCAATGTCTTTCTGTGGCCTAGTGTCAGATGTATAAGGGGGGAGAAGGGGCAAAATCCCTGGGCCCCCTGACAGAAGGGGTCCTTCTATACAATAACTATCAAAATCAATCTGAAAATGTAAAAAATATACAAAATAATAAAAATAAATAATAATAAAATAATATAAAATGTATAATAATAAAATATTACTTACACTTATTTAATGTATCCTGAGAAGTAATACTTTGCCTGCCATGATCTGTAAAAGTTTTACTCTGAACTGGTATACTGTATCATTTTTTTTATGAATTTTGGCAGCTCAAGCAAACCACCTTAAGCTCTAATGGTAGGTGGAATATGACTGCAGAATAATGTTGTGTCATGCATTTTAAAAATGTATGACTGTCATTGGGAATATAAACCATCACTGTGTATGAGTGCCCTCCTCCCCAAAACTAAATTGCCCTTGGCCCCTAAAGGTCTATATCTATCCCTGCTGTGGCCTCCCCTGTCCTTGTGTCCTTGTCATGTTTCTAATAAATTATATACAAAATGGCAGCTAGGCTACCAGGATATGTGAACAGTGATTGAAAGATTTAGATTTCTAGTTAGAATGTTGATATGTAGAATTCCTCTGTATGCATTTTCATATGGGCAGCTCAGTGGCTTGTTGGTGGCTCCTGTCTAAACTGGCCTTAGCATGTGTGTATATGCACATGAGGGAGGGACCCAAATTGTAAGGGCCAGAGAATGATATGAAATTACAATATGTAAAAGTGCTGCGTAAATTGTTGGCCTATATAAATTCCTGTAAAAAAATAAGTATTTAATTCAAGAAAAAATGTATCTGTATAACAGGATATGTATAGAAAACAGATCTAGGTCTTGGTGGCTTGAATCAATGTCTAGCCACTGTCACTCCTGCGGTACTATTTAATGTCACACTGACATCAGTAGGAAAGAATATAGTTAAAATTGATTTGTGCTGCCTAGTTTGAATAAGTTACTATTATCAGACCTAACATTAAAACAGAGGTTTCTCAAAAAAGATGTCTAAAGTGAGTCAAAATGCGTTCAGTTAAATACTGACATTGTACATTTCTGTTTTAGAGTGAAAATCAAGGTCTACAAGATTGCAAGTAAATCATTTTTCAGGTCTTTTTCCTTTCTCAAGTTGTTTGGTACACGTAACTATAGTAAACGAGAACTGGTCTGGAAACTTAAACTGATGAGCAGTAAAAGCTCAAAAAATTGTTTAAATACGTACTGGTATAGATTGTATGTCCCCAATTTACTAAACTGCATTGAGCAAAGTATGCTATGAAAAACTATTTCTGCACAGAATCTTTATAAATGTTTTGCACATGTAAATGCACAAGATAATAGTTGCACTACTTTCCAGTTTTTCTTTCCTTTTAAGCACTAGTATATACGGGAACCTGTGCTAAAAGAAACATAGATCTTGTCATTTCTTGTCTCCTTCTAAAATGCCAGCTGATTTGCGGTCATGATGTTCTTTAGAATTTATAAGGCTCTGAGCCCCTAATCTGGGACAGACACAGTGCTTAAAATAAATGATACACCCCAACAGATGTCCCCAACAGATTTGTCAGAAAACCTTTACTTTTCTTACTGAATCAACATTTTCTATGGGACACTATACTACAAAATACTCCCACAAATGCAGGCCATTGATTGCAAACAAGATTTTGTAATCTGCACACACAAAAAAGTAGTTTTCCTAACAAATTCATTCAAAACTATGTTGCAAAAATGAATACACCCCAATGAAAATCTTAGGAGCAAAGCTAAATTTTAGACAAGAATTCAACTACAGGGTAGTCTAATTATTCATTAAACAGGTGTCCAGCAGACAGTTGATTATAAAAAGGCATTACTTAACAAAGAAAATCCCTTCCCATTTCATGCTGTCAGCAATGGCACCACATGGAAGAGAAATGTCACAAGGCCTGAGGAAGAAAATCAAATCAAATCATGGAGTCACACAAAATACTAGATGTAGTAGTTTTTTTGTTGTGGGGTGTATTCATTTTTGCATCAACTATTTTGAGTAAAACTGAAGATTTTGTAATCTAAGTTATATTTATTAACCTTACTTTCATGTAATGAGCTAAACAAATGTTCTATGAAACTCAGTTTTGTCAAAACTTTGGAAATGGTTCTTTTTCAAAAGGGGTGTACTCATTTATGCTGAGCACTGTGTGCAAAAAGAGATGTCAGAACTCCAGTTCCAGGTAAGTGACTTGGTAAACAATGAATCTATTAGATCCGCATGAATGTCAGTCAGTAGTAAAACGTCAGCAACAACAGAACAACAGAAGTCATATTTCTCTCAATAGCTACTTCCTTTAGGCGGCACTGACTGGCACTGATAGGCGGCACTGACTGGCACTGATAGGCGGCACTGACTGGCACTGATAGGCGGCACTGACTGGCACTGATGCGCACTGATAGGCAACACTGACTGGCACTGATAGGCGGCACTGATTGGCAGCACTGATAGGTGGCACTGATTGGAATTGATAGATGGCACTGACTGGCACTGATGGGTGACATTGAAAGGCAGCTCAGATGGGCACTGATATGTGGCATTGATGTGCACTGGTAGGCACTGATATGTGGCATTGATGTGGCACTGATGGTCACTGGCACGTGGCACTGATGGGCACTGGCACGTGGCACTGATGAGCACTGACAGGTGGCACTTCTGAGGCCACACTGATCATCAGGGCACACTGATCATCAGTGCCCTGATGATCAGTGTGCATGTCACCTCCGCGGAAAGCCGATTACCGGCTCTCCTCTCCTCTCGAGCTGTCAGAGTAACAGCTCTAGAGGAGAGAAATGCCAATAACCGGCATTTCCGTGTTTACATGTGATCAGCTGTGATTGGACACAGCTGATCACACGACTGAGCCAACATCTTCGGCTCTTTCCGTGATCCGCTGTGTCCGCGCTGTGCACTCCCTGAGCCACGCATCGGCAGTGAGAATGGTAGGACGTCATATGACGTCCTATCAGAACGAGAGAACCACCTTGCACCCGTCATTGTACTATAGGGCGGGCGGTAGGTAGTTAAAAACACCTGCCCTCTTGAGGATTTACCCCCCCCCCCCCTTTCCTGCATTACTTTAACTGATAATTGCATGCAACACTGCACCTAAATGAAATTTACATCCTTTCTTCCACACAAATTAAGATTTTTTTCAGTGGTATTTGATCGCCTGTGCATTTTAAATGTTTTGCGCTATAAAGAAAAGACCAACTATTTTGAGAAAAAAACTATGTTTTTTACTTTTTGCTATTCAACATGTCCAGTAAAAAAAATTTTAGAAATCAAATTTCATCATAAATTTAGGCCAAAATATATTCTGCTACATGTCTTTGCTATAAAAAATCCCAATATGTGTAAATTAATTGGTTTACGTAAAATTTATAGCAATTACAAATGGCAGTATGTATACTGGGATATTTAAATGGCAGAGATCAGCAACATATACTGCGGCGGTCATTTAGACACTGGGGGGGAACTGACTTGGTGCCACTGACATCCCCAGTGACACCAATACAGTGACCAGTGCTAAAAAAAAAACACTAATACTGTACTAATGGCACTGGGCAGGAAGGGGTTAACATGAGGGGCGATCAAAGGGTTAGCTGTGTGCTGTTTTACTAAGTGCTGTGTCTGTGTGCTTCACTTAAGCACACTGCTTTGCATGGTGGGTGCCGGTAAGTAACCACCGATCAGGACCCAGTTATTAAAAGTTGCTGCCACAAATGGCAGCACAGGTAGGGCTTGTGTGCGTCTCACGCTTGCCCCCTACTCAGAGATGCAAGATCACGTATATATACATGATTTTGCGCACCCATGCTGCCCTGTAGCAGCATATCTGCTATAGGGCAGTCGGTAAGCGGTTAAAATGAATAGTAAAAATCAATATATTATTGCCTATGTGGACAATTTATTTTTTTTCTTACCAAAAAAGGCATACTTAGAGGAATTCTGGCTCATTATACTTAGGATAAACCATTGCACCAGTAATAGAACATCTTTTAGCTTTTTGTTTTGTAAAAACATTTGTAAAATGTTTTTGACATGTCAATTGGTACACTCACCTTGTTCTAGAGATGTAGTTATTTCATATAGCCTTGTTTATGCTCTTGTACCAAGTAAATGCAGAAAGAATGGAATGTTAATGCACAGAAATGGGGTTTATTTATAAAGAAGTAAATGTGACTTCCATCAAGCAATCTCTGGAGGAGATTCAATCATTGTCAATTAATACACATGCATCTGGAAGGTTCTCCTGCAGAGAAAGTTTTCTGAATGTCAGGTTCACTTCTTTTTAAATATTACCATATTCAGAGTTCTAAAAATTGTTTCAGAAATAGGTAGGTTACAATTCAGACAAATTAACCCAAGATTTCATTTTTCACTATTTAAAATATCTTATCAATCCCTCTGCTTCTAAGGCTGTGCTATTTTGATAATAGTTCCTAGCAACATAACATATTCATTTAAAAAGAATCTTCCACAAATAAATGAGCATTTGAACATGTGGCATATGACTTGTTTAAGTGATCTTTTCACCAAGCCTCTGGATAAATATGACAACTTTATACCATTTTCATTCACATAGGTATTTTGAATAATAGGCACAGGGCCCACCCAATTTCATACAGTTTTTTCCTCCAGGGATGGTAACATTGATCATTAGGTGGATTCCACTTATGTAATCCAAATGTTGATTAAAATGATAGCAAAAGATAAAGATAGATAGAGAGATAGATAGATAGATAGAGATAGATAGATAGATAGATAGATAGAGAGAGAGAGAGAGATAGATAGATAGATAGATAGATAGATAGATAGATAGATAGATAGATAGATAGACACCCCAACTCTACGAATATTCATTAATATAGTACTGTTGGGAGAAGTAGAGTATATATAAATCCCAGGGCATCAATACCACAGTCTTATTTTCTTTTATTTATGCCTAATCCCGAGCAAGTTAAGAGTTGCTCTATTCTCTGGAGTATACTTTATTGGATCATTTAAGTTGTTCTCCAATGGTTCAAGTCACTCAGCATTCAACACTGTGCCTTACTATACACTTGAGGTATATTTTAATGACTCAATAAAACACTACCTGTCATGTCTTATTGCTTATAACCATGTTACAATGCATCTTGTCTACAATATGAAACAATATACCACAGCATTACAATGTCAGCCATCAAGATTTCTTTTCCAAACAGAATTAATGGTCAAACACCTAAAACATTGTTCATATATTGTTCTTAAGTTTGAAGCATTTTAAACTTTGTGTGCTATTACTGTGTATAAATACAGTATATGTAACAAATATTTTGTATCTGAATAATAGATTTACATTACCACATCATACGAAAACAGAAACAAAACATCATACTCAACATTTACATTGAAACAGTTGTTAAAATAGACTAGTATGAGTATTTTACCAAAAATATAAAAAAAGAAATGATATAAAGGGAAAGTATCAAAAACCCTTTAAGATATATGTGTATGGGCCTAAGCCATAAGCTACAACAGTGGCCTTCAACATCCTTGCCACAGAGAGAGAGGAGCAGAACAAAGGTAGCTTGAGATCTCATTCATGGTCATGCCACACAGAGTTTGATGGTAAATCTCTACTAACCAGACCTAGCCATGTCACCCTTACAGGTCTCACTTGACTCAGCAGGCCCAGACTGACCCTCATTGATAATAGAGATGGCTGAACTACTGACTCCCCAATGTGCCTAATGACTTAAATTACATATTCTAGGGATTCTGTCCTTGTAGGCAGAATTTCTGACTCACTACAAAGGTAGCTAGACAAAGCTACTACCAAATGTAAAGATTTACAACAGACAAAAAAGCAACAGGATGGAATCTAAGGAACAGAGAATGGATGGCACAGTCCACAGAGTCTTGGAAAACACCTCTCAAATCACCTTACTATGTGCTCAGGAAACTCACATAAAAGTTGAAGATCTAAAACATTTCAGGGGGTGCAGTTTTCATATTTGTGGGCTAACCAAATCTATTAAGGACTTTTAAATGGTCACTTTTGAATTCATGAAAGAACTGCCTGATTCAAACAACTCCCACTTGACAGAATTCATAGAGCTTTGATTTAGCCCCAAAATTTGATGCACTTCTCAGAATGTGATTGGCAAACCACATTACTTAAAAAACAATGTGCGTAAGTCAAACTAGAAATGGAGATCCTAGAAACCAAGTTTTCAACCTCTCATCTCATTCACCAACCTCTCAGATGGAGAGAAGATATTCACTGAGCTTAACCTCATTTCTACAAGCCCTACATCTTGCAAGTGAACTAAGGGTAATGTCCCCACTAACTCCACTTTGAACAAAAGTATCCAGACAAACCCATAGGAGCCTACTTGACAAAATCCTTGTCTTTTCTCTTGCTGTTGACAGCTTTCAAGGTCAGTGTGGATGCAAAGCCACATCATGTAATAAACATTACTCTACTGCTGCTGTTATGCTATCCTACTGCAACTACCATGTTTACATGCCTTCACAAATCGTGCTTGATATATTGTATATCCTCTCTCTTGAGCTCTGAATGATCCCAGTGTGGACAGTAACTGGAGTAATGCTGCCAACTCAGGACCATGGGAACTAAAAATCTTATTAGCCACTACAATTCTTTCTGGGAATTACCCAAAGCCATATCTGGGGAATACTCTTATAGAGTGACTCAATATTCAGGGAGAAAAGAAGTGCCTCCTCTGGCACAATCAAATTTTCCAAAGGTTCTAACAAATATGATGCGTCCCTAATATAACAGAGAAGTGTCACCATGTGTTGTTGCAAAAAGAAGGCCACGTATTAGCTGATTATTTTAAAGGAAGGGACCCACATCCCTAAATGATGAATATCTCCTGGGGGTTCCTCACTGATTTTTGGACCTTTGGCGGGGCATAAAACATGGGGATAGTGGTAGTATCTAATTTTAACCCTATTTGCTGCCACCCATGGAAGGCGTATATCACTTACTCAGTTTCAGGTGTCACTTTCCCTGGCTCCTTTGGCTTTCAAAGAAGCAAATGGAGCATGATCTTTACTCATGTTACATATCACAATGCATTCCAGGGTGACATCAATAATTATAGGGCCACTATTCATGGTTAACTATAAACTAATGATCTGTAAGAATTTTAAAGACGATTTTGGGTACTGAAATTTGTCACCTGGCATGTTGATATCTACTTACTCGATGAAACCCAATCTTTCAGATTTTGCCAAAAAAGGATAATACTATATACTGGGCTGGTTTGCACTCAAATTCTTTGTGTATTTTTTAACTGAAAATATGTGTTTGATAAACATGTTCGCTAATATCATGTGACATAACAAATTGCATCTACCACCATTTTATTCTCCAGGGTATCTGCTGTCAGAAAATGTGTAATGTGTAGGGTTTTACTAGATGAAAAGAAAAACTAAAAATCCTCCTGCACCGATACGGAAATATCCTAACCAATAGCGGCCAACACCCAATAATAATACCAATCAGAACAAAAAATGAAAATTAATGGTGCAGCGCTAACTACAAAAGTGAATAAAAATGAATAAAAATAAATGTGTATCCATATAATCATAAAGTGCTAATAAATCAACAAACCAAAAATGTACATATAACAAT